AAAAAATATAAACAAACAAACAAAACACTAAACTGTCCCTTTCTTATCATTTTGAATTACATTCAATATTATTGCTGAAGCTACACTGTAAACAATATTTAATATCATAGTTGAAGTGCAACAAATAATAGCTACATTATGTAGGCTGCTGTAAAATAAAAATATATAATAATAATATCTGTGTAAATGAACCTGCTATAATCTGCTGAATATATGTGATTATTCTGATTAATAACAGATTACCTGTTAGAAGTCATTCTTGGCCAGCCTTTAGTGATGCTTTTATTCAAGGGCAATGCTGGTTGCATGTGTTTTATGTGTGTTGTGCATCGTGTATGGCCATGTTTCCCTGTTTGTTCAGGCTGAACATGCTGTCATCACTCTTCTGTGTGCCTGAGGTGGTTGCCTAATGCAAATACTCTCAGTATAAACGCATGCGTGTAGGCACACACAAACGTGTTTAAATGCAACTGTAACAGGGTCATAAATCACATTGTTATAATTACCCAAAATGTGTTCTAAACCCCCAAACCGTTCCTTTTATACCTGACTTTTAGGACCTCCAAGCCTGTAGTTATGTTCATTATCAGTTAGAGCCCCTCCTCATTCTTTTCTTCTTCTTCTTTGGTGCAATCCTATAAATACAGTGAACCCCTTTTGCCTCTCCCCTTTTCTACAATTCCCCTGTGGGAGAGGTGGGTGTCATTTCTTTCCAACACTTTAAAACACACATATAATGCATATTTAGCCACCTGGATGTTTCTGATTGCGATTTTAGTTCAATTATTGTCATTATTAAGCCTGTTTTTGTTAGATGTTATAAGTGTGTAGTATGTGTGTATCATAAATGTGTTTTAGGCGCCATAAATGCTATAATGAATATATACTCCTTGCTAGCTTGGACGTTGTGGTGGGTTGAGCTAACTCTCTTCCCCACTGTTTGTATTCTTTTACCTTTTTTATCAGGTATGTCGGATTTCATGTTGTTGTTTTTGTTTTATCTTATGTCAAATATGTTACGTGTAAATGCATACTTTATGTTTAATGTAAAAATAAATGCTGCGCCCTTTTCTACCTGCATGCGCTAGTACCTCTTGCCACGAGTTCCCAGAATCCTTTGCGGTTTTACCCCTGAATGACGTCACATTTTCAATCTCTTCCCCTGTGGGAGAGGAGCTGGAGTGGGCAAATTATTTACTTGGAGGTCTTAATTTTTCTTTTACCTTTTTTTATCAGACACAACGCAGAATCACACCGGTTACACTACATGTTTCATGTGTTCTCTCAGTACAAACGCATGCGTGTAGGCACACACAAACATGTTTCATGTGTTCTGAGTTTTTACAAAAGATATCTTATTAAACTGACAGAACAAAGACCCATTTAGACTGCTACGCTGTATGTGACACACTATTTCAGTTATTGAAGCTGAAAGGTTGCGTATTTACAGGTCTTGTACCCAAGCTCAAAGATGTGTCAAACAGAA